TATATTCTCCGAAATGTCAATGTTAAGTTCTTTGTACAACTGAAGACACAAATGCAAATCTTACTGGACACCAGATCCAGTTATTTTTCCTGTGTGAGTCTTTTCGTTGACTGACATCCAGCTCCTTTTAGGTTCACCAATCCTTCTCTTCAAATCACACATTCATATTAGAGACTGTAATCCAGCTAATTAGAGCAGACATCCAGCAGAAATGTCTAGTGCAGAGGTAATTTTTCAAGACGCACAATTACACCATTTAATGATTTGGCTGAAGAATGTGGCATTGATTGCTTGCTCATAGCACCATCATCATTTTATTGCAGTTGGTCATGAACAGTGCTTGCAAATGTATTATGATCGTTGTGTACTATGATACAGTTTAAATATTACTTAATGCACCTCAAAGAAGGGGAGCAATACAGTAAAAGAAAAAGCAGTAATGTAATGGGAATTCAGGAGCACAGTAGGAATGCTTTTCACAGAAATTGATTGAGCATAGTCAAGCCTTGATATCAGCGAGTTACTGCTCTGTTGAATTTAGCCCCTAGAAGTTGTGATAAGTTGCAACATACTTTTTTCCTCTATCAAAGCTCTCCATGAAAAGTAACTTCTAAAACTTACTCTCTAACAAGCATAAGCCACTCAAATTAACTTAAAACACAGTTCTCAAAGGGGTTATGGTTATGCTCAGTCTGTGTTCTTCATCTCATTTAGCAGCACACTTTTTTTTTGGTTTGCCTGAGGCTTTTGCTTAGGTGAGATCATGTGAAACAAGAAATTCACAAGTCAAGTCCTGTTAGTATTTTGCTGAAGCAGTTGCTAAGATACTGTGAGCTTGATGAATTGACTCATTACTTGAAGCAACAGTTGCATGAATGTGATTCAAGTTCATTGCTTCTCTTGCAGAGAAATATCACTTGGGTGTCAGCTTGATAAGCACTGTCAAAAGCATTTTTAAAGTGAGGTTACCTCACGCAAGAATATAATTACCACAGGGATGCTCACAATTTAAATCAAAGGTGATTGGTCGACATGTCTCGTTAGATTTTAGAGTGCTAATTTCAAATGGACTGTACAAATTGGCACATCATGTGTCAGGTATACAACACAGCTAGATCTGACCAAAAGCAATCAGCTCTCTGTTGCCTCCCATCTGTAAGCTCAGCGTCAGTGGTGTGAACTCATCAGTGGCCGTTGATTAGTTTTAGTTGTTCATGTGGGGTCAAGCTGAACTTTTACTTTTCTCAGTCGCCCGTTGTGGTTTTATTCCTGCTAATAAAGGAGGCTTGATTGAGCATCCCCCTCATCTCTCCCTACATTTGTGGATGAGCACTCTTTTGGGCCCACTCGTCCTTTCTGCATCTTGATGTCTGTCTGAAGGGGTTTTTAGGGTTCAGATGTGGGCCTCTTAATGTGGGTCCAGGCACAAGTGTGAGTGTGAGCATGTGAGCTGCAGAGACAGCTTGACTCGAGAGACCCTACTAACTAATTTCCATGGGTGTGAATCACAGCTGTCAACAGGGTGTATATTTGTGAGACTAATCAATCCTTTCATGTGATCTGTATTTATGGAACATCAGTCGATAGAAAAAAGGCAGCTAATGCTGTTAATACGACTGCATGTCTTCAAAAATGAGCTTTCAAGTTTTCCATTTCACATGTTGACTTTTCACAGAAACATATTCTGTGCAGTGGATAAATTACCATGTGCCATGCAGTGCTGAAAACCAGCAAGTTTCCATGACAACCAAATTCACTGATTAGACAAATGTTTGGCCACTGAAATGAATCAGCTGAAAATAGCAAAAAAAAGGCCTAATAAGTCAAATGATCGAACAAATTTTACTGAACAATTACGTTGACATGTCAGCAGTGTGGAAGCATTTTAAAGTAACCGAGAAAGACGCAAAAATTTGGCTGAATTGTCTCCTTGCACATCCACTCCATCTGTGGCCGACTTCTTAGAAAAGGCAACAAATGGTCTGATCCGCTTTAAGTGTTTCTGTCACTTGTTTCTGAGAAGTCAAATAAGCTAGCCGCACCTACATTTGGAGTGCAGGTGTATTCAAGCCTTTATGGTAAATCCACCGAAACAGACCATTGCAAGCTGACAGGCAGGTTGGCAACTTTATCTTGTCATTTTCTCTCTTTACAAAGACAAGTGTTGCAGTATTAGAGTCTGACCTGAAGAGAGGCCATGAAGTCTTCATGCCAAAGAATTTTCATTTCGGTGCATCCCTACTATTGGGGTGGAGTTTGCAGTGCTCAACAGTGATTGGTCATCTTTTACAACTTGCATACGGCTTCATTCAGAAAATAAGAAAGGACTGGGTGTCTCTTGTATCAATATGACATTTCTTGTGATGTTTCTTGACATTAGGAACAAAGTTATGTTGTTGGCTTCCCAAATATAAAAAAAAGAGCTAGATGGATGGAATGAACGTGGAATGAACGTGAGAGAGACGTTTTCAGAAAGTGAATAAGAGGCAGCAGCAATAAATGGACAAAGCTAGTAAACAAGAGAAATAAAAAGTTACGATATAAAGTGGAAATAAATAGCAAACACTTCACACCATCAACTGATCATTGCTAGAGGGAGAGGTTGCGGAGTTTTCAGTCTCCTTTTCATCCATTCAAACATCACAGGACATACAAAGAACATGATGTTGAGACTGTTTGTTTCTTTGTGTGTGAAAATCAAGTTTGCTCATGGGTCTAATTTGCCTAATCTTCGTACAAATAGGAATGCGCTTAAGGGACTTTTAAGTTTCTAGTTTAGTTCCTTTATTTTCTTGTTATAGCAATGTCACTCCAGTTCCCAGATGCCAGGTCTTATTATCGTGGACCAGTTTTATCAAAACACATCCACACAAATAAGATCAGAGTTGTAATAAACCTGAATTATCCTTTAATGTAACACAACTACACAGTGAATAAAACAAAAACAAAAACAAATTTCTCGAAGTTGGATACATGGTTTACTAAGCTTCACTAATATTTGCTTATGTGTCTTTTTTGGGGGTCAAACCAGGACTTCACCTCAGTGAGTATTTGATGTGGCAATAATTAGCAATAACATAATTTAGTTTACCATAATGTTATGTTTGTATCATTTTTCCAAAGCGTTTGGCAAGTGTTTGCTTTTGTTTCCCTCTTCACGCCTCTCCTGAACCCGCCGTGTCTTTGTCGGTCCCCTGAGTCAGGGTCCAGGTCGGAGCTGCTGTAAATCACCTCAGTACTGAGCTTGCCCGTTCGCTTGGCTCCAGAGATTTTAAAGATATTAATCCATAAACATTCCAGTAGGACCGCTAACTGAGCTAACTAGCTATTGACAGCTACAGTTAGCAGCAGTTAGCGATAACTCTGGTGATATGCTGTCCCCTGTTTGTTTAGAGGATGAATTCAACAGGCCAATTCATCCATATTGTATCTTTAAGTTGTATGTATACTGTTGCCTTATGCGGCATTCAGACCAAACGCGAATTTAATCCACGCAATGCTTTGCTGGCGGGGGTTTTATCGCTGAACATCGCTGGAGTTGCCATTACTACAGCTGTACCCAAAGTAAACATTTTGCTGTGATTAAATAGCAATAAAGGGATCAAACTGATGCTTTAACTACAACTACAATATGATGCAGATTTGTTACACATATGAATTCATGCTTTGTCAGGACAACAACTTCTAAAATGTTTGTTTTCTGAATTGAGTTTGGTCCGGTTTTTATATAAATATGAAGTAGTGCCAAACGACGCTAACAACATTGGAACCAGATGTGCACGGAAACTAGCTGCTGAGAAACTCCAGTGAAGATTAATCAACGTTATAATCCCAAAAACTAAAGTAAAAAGCTAATTTAATAAAAGCAGCTTACTCCAAGCTCCTCCCTCGAGCAAACAGCGTAGTTGTCAGAGCATAATCTAGTCCGACCATGGGTGTTTATTTGTCCAAAAGCTGGAGCCCTGCTCCCTGCTCCTCTAGCCCAAGTTTAGCATCTCTCAGCATGCAGCAGCGTCTTTGCATTGACTTTGTATGTAAACTCACCTCCCCAAACGCTCGCTTTGCTTTTGGTCTGAAAGCACCATTAGTCCTTTTACTATAGAAAAAAATGATATTTTTTGATGCATCTGCTCATGCTTTGAACTCATGAGTCAGCCAGGAGAGTTTAATGGGCAGGTGCTAACTGGAATGAATGGGATTTTTACATCAGAAGGCCTCCCAAAGTCTTCAAGGAGAAAACTGAATGAAGATGTATGTGTATAGTGTTCCAACCAGTCATTAACTGCACCAGTATTTCTTTTAAAACAAAATGTTTTGCTATGTTTGAGTAACGCTAAATATAACCTTTGGACAACTTGGGTGGTTTTTTTGGGGGGGGGGTGGGGGGGGTACCCACCGTCAAGATGACTAAAATATATTTTAAAAAGCCTTGAAAATTCCTATATATTATGTCCCTTGTGTGTTTGCAGCTGTCTCTTCCCACAACTCGTTGTTCCTTGCGGCCTCTTCTTCATAACATTACAGAATAGGAAAGGCTGCAGGCTTTCTTTCCCATCAATTTTGCAATTCCACCGGGACCTTTTATGGGAGATATTTTTCGTGGCTCATTTGAAGTTGCTGATGCTGATATTGTGTTTGAAGTTTGTGTTTTTGATGCTTATAGTTCCTTAGAGATAATGTCACAGGGAAGAAAAATAATGACACACACACAAAAAAAGTGTAGGTGTATTGATAGAAATTTGCATTAAAAGCAGCTTAGTGGTCAATAGCAGTTTTTGAAGGCTGCGAGGTCAATTTTGCCCACACTTAGTCATGCATGAGATACTGTGTCTGTTGAGATGAACCCAGGATCAATTCTACCAACATGATGTTTTGTTTTGCTGAACAGCCTCTTGGCTATGCATAACTGCAGACATAAAGACAAGCGGAATATTGCAGACTATTTCAGCTGTGTTTCTGCCAGATCAATAAACACATTCTTTTTTTGTTTCTTTCTGAAGAACAACTTGAGGAGGATAAATTGCACAGTAACGGAGGTAATGTATTGTCATCTGAGCTCAAAAAGACTCATTTTGGCTGCTCACTTCAACTATTTTGCCTCTGTTGCTCTTTGTTTCTCATTCGACAGAAAGTTTACTTTCGGTAGAAGTCGGCTTATGTTATGACTCATGCAGCTTTGCCCTGTTCTGTTTTGGCGCACTCTTCCATTTTTCTCACTCTCTTGCTCCATCCATTCATGCTAATCTGCTCCACATCAGCATATTTGAACACCACTGCTCTACTAATAAGTTCACATCAGATGACAGCAAAGTTAATTCTTCATTACCCAAATTGAGCACATTTGCTGGTTGTAAATGTGTGCCTGTTGCCAGGATGGATGTTTTAGTATTAAGTGTATAATAAACCCCATTTTGGTCAAACATGAAACACCATATTACATGATAATGTTTACCCAAATTATGAAAAAACATAACCCAAGTGGTATCTAGACATTCGGATAGTTTTATTTGCTCTGGTATTGATGAAAAATTGAATTAGATTCTTTTTTTCTTACACAAAAGAACATGGGTTCAACAGTTTTAATGGGGAGAAAGTAGATAGAATAGTAGAAAGTAATTCCAATGAAAATTCTGAGATCTATGGATTATCCAGAGTAAGCAGGACATTGTTTCTGGAAATGTTGCCTTTAATTTTTCAAATTACATTTTTAAGAAGTTGTGATCAACATTAAAAGTTCCATTTACCTCCATTGTATAGATTTTGAGGGAAGGCAAAGCAAGTTTATTTGTAGCACAGTTTTCAGCCTTGATTTAAAAGAACTGAGAGTTTCAGCAGACCTTTCTGGGAGTTTGTTCCAGATATATACGGTGTATAAAAACCAAACGCTGCTTCTCCATGTTTAGTTTTGAATCTGGGGACAGTAAGCAGACCTGGCGACCTGGGGGGTCTGGATGGTTTATAATGTAGCAGAATATCAGAAATGTGTTTTGGCCCAAAACCATTCAGTGCTTTAAAAACTAACAGTAGTATTTTAAAATACAATTTTGACAGACAGAATGTGTTAGGCGGAAAGCTTACAGAACGCTTACAGACAGATATCTCAAAACCTAATAAACTAAAAAACTGTTTGCATGGCTAGATTCCACTACAGATAAGCCAGAAAATATATTATTTTGTAATTAGTGTGAACTCTCGAACATGCATTTTAGGAAGTATTTCAAAACCAGGTGTTATGTTGGCATTAAATCAATCTCTATCTCTGTCCTCTTCCAACAGGGAGCCAGGCGAAGCAAGACTGGTCCATTCAGTGGCCCACCTCTGAATCGGGCAAAGAAAACACTCCTGTGTGCCAGCCAGAGGCCAGTCAGTGGATCCGGTTCCAGCTCTCCCAAAGCCCCAAAGTCCAGTCCAAGTACAACCAGCACATGTGCCACAGCCCCCAGGCCCTGGCCCCCCCTTTATATGCCGATCGGCTGACCGTTGACAGCCCTGCCACAGGGCTCTTCAATCCCTTGGACTCTGGTCATCGCTCCCTGCCCCCATCACCGCGCCAGAGGCATTTTGGCCACACACCTCCTCGGACTCCCTTGGTGGTCAACACCATGACCCCGCCTGGCACTCCCCCCATGCGGCGAAGGAACAAAGTGAAGGCCCCGGGAACGCCACCTCCGCCGAGCCGCAAGCTCATCCATCTGCTGCCGGGCTTCACCGCACTGCACCGCAGCAAATCCCACGAGTTCCAGCTGGGGAACCGCTTGGATGACACACAGACACCAAAGTAAGGGTTTTACTCTTCTGGATTCTTAACGCCAAACAGTCGTGGCCAACAGTTTTGTGTTTACTTAATAGCCCAAATTATGATACATGTGTAAACATAAATGTCTGAATTCTAAGCAGCATCTGAAGCTATCACTCCCAAATTGATTTACAGGTATTTTAATGCAGGAAGCAAAACTAGACAAAAACTAATTTTAAGTTAATAATGTATTCTGATGCTGCCAAAGATTTGTTTACCCTTGTAAAGGCCTATATTTTAAATTATATATCAGTTGACACTAAATTAAATTACACTAAATAGGTTTTTATCTTTACACACTCTTAAGTTACGTTGGTTAATTAAAAAGCATGATCTATAACACAAAAATAAATAAATTAAAAAGCATGCTTTTTAATTTATTTATTTTTGTGTTACAGATCAGTCGCATGCATCACATAAATAAATGTTACCCTGCAAGCATTTTTTATGTAAATGTGCATTATTTGCCCATTTTCAAGCATTTCTAATAATATTATATATTTATATATTTTAAGATGAACTGATCATAATAGCAAACCTACCCTTAGAGATAATAATAATTATAGTGATATAATCAGTGGAGGAAGTATTCAGATCCTTTACATGAACAGTATAAAAATGTCAAGTAAAGTACAAGTATATCACTTTTTTGTGGATTCAATTACCATCCACCACTATTATTATGTTTCTATTATACAATGCTTTATTAGTTACAACAATAGCGTATTGTGCTACTATATCAGTAATGTTTGAACAATTGCGTCAGCACAAATGATATGTGATAATATTTTTACCAGTAGGTGTCATTAGTGAAGATTATGTTAAACAAGCCTTCGAGTAATTCATCTATAGACCATGGAGCTTGCTGGAAAGTCTTTAGAAAGCCTAATTTTGCCTTTAAGTTATTTAGTTATTTATTATGTATGCTTGGAAGGAAGATGATGTGGAAGGAATGATGAAATAACGCCAAATAATGTTGGAATTTAGGATTGCGGCTGCATGGCTCTCATTGCACAAATTTGTTTGGCTTAAAATTTACTTGTTTTTAAAGTTTCTTAGAGACAATATTCCAAATTATTACTGACCAGTTCATTTCAGCAGATAGCCTGCCTGAAGCGAACATTCAGAGATTCAGTCCTCCCTCTCCCTGATCTGTACAAGGTTTTATAACGTAATTCCATCTGATGCAAGTAGAATAGAAAGGAAGTTAAGACCCCACCTTTCATTTCAGCAATTTTACTTGAGCGTAATCTTCCACCAGAGCTCAATCAGATTAATTCCTAGGACGACATCATTGCCCATAAAGAACCAATGGCCTATTGGTAGAGATAAGGGGCCTTGAGGCTAAGTTCCTGACTGGTCATGCCTGTGTCTGGTGCTATGCTGATCAGATTTGGCCACGAACAGGGTCCACCACTGCTAGGTAATCAGGAACCAGAGTCCGCCTCAGGAGAGCTGCACTCATTTTGATAATGCCATTACATGACAGTGCCCTATCAGTGCTACACTTGGTAAGTTAATATTTAGGAGTTGTCCTCTGCTTTTACGATGGCCATCTGGGTTGTTTTTTTGTGTGCTTGGTTGCGGACAGGGCTGCATCCACACATGTACGCTCACGTGGGTGGTTGAATCTGTATCTGCACAGTGAGGAGTGGATCATAGCTGAAGTGAATAGGCTCAAACGGCATTAGAGAATTGATTACCGGTCCCTGAGCGCTGATAGAAAGCAGGCTGTGATTTGAGCCCCTCTAATCAATGGCCTGTGTGTGCCTGGAAATGTTGCAAGTCATTGAGACAGGGCAGATCTGCTGGCTTCTCTGATAGCCAAGTACCTCTCATAATACATCATAATTGGTTGGAGGATGGATGGTGCTGGCAAGCATCAAATTGGTGGTTCAGTTCTGGCATGAGGCACCCGTACTTGTTTGTTTCGAATCTGCATGCCTAAGAGAACTGACTTCATTGCAAAGTTTGCGTCTGTTTTTTTTCTTGATGCAAATACCTGAAGTTAGAAGCCTGAAAGTTCACACCATACTAGAGTTTGTTAAGTATTGTAGTAAGGTTTCTATTCCTCGCGTTGTTTTTTCAGTTAATGGCTCAAAATGAAAAACAACTTACAAACATTTTACCGGAACAAACCAACCCTGAAAAATATGTCTAAAATATTACACAAAAAGGCTATTTCATACTTTAATGGCTGCTTATACCCTATTCCTTCTGTACTACCCGTATTTCCCCCCATTACCAACCTCAAGATTTTAATAAGCTCACAGTACTCCTCAGGTCCTCATTTTCTCTTGCTTAATTGCTTGGCACTGTGGCCAGGACACAATGACCAGGGATTACCCTATGACCCCTAGAGACATTTTTCTTAAACTTAATGAGATATGGGCTAAAATCTCATTATCACTGCATAATACAGCACAGGGACTATAAAGCTGAATGTGCAAGAATGCTCGGCATACCAGGTGGAAGGAAATCTGAAGTTTGGTTTTGATGCTGATAGATGTGACGTTTCATTTTATGAAATGTACTAATTGGCCATTGTCCTTTTGCTTTGGAAACTTTCAAGTATTTCCATTAACTTCAGAGATAAAAGATTTCTTAATTGCTGCACCACACCTTTTTACAAGGACATATCAATGTAAGTTAATTGCATTCTGCTTTGCTTTTCTCTTCTTGGTATGTTAATAGTCACTACAATGTGAAAACTGGAGAAATTTATAATCTAAAATTGAAAAACTGGCAATTGATAATCAAAGCAAGTTGGATTTAGATAAGGTGTTCATATTTTTTGGCCTAATACAGTCTAAAGAACTTATTTATTAAGGTTAGCTACATTGTGAATTGTCTGAAAAGTTGGCATTAAGTGCTTTTAGGGCATCTTAATGGTCTTTTTAATGCGTAAAAGCCTCTATTTCAATGTTTATCCGTCTTCAGCTGCACAAGATGTGTTTTTCAGATACAGTGCAGGAGGGGTACTGCAATCACGGTCTGAAAATTGTTTCCAGTCACTTTTATTGTAAAAACTCAGCAAGTCTGCCTCTGTGGACCCTCATCTTTTGCTTTATAGCTTTGTGCTTCTTGGTTTAATGTGTTTGTCTGTGTGATAATGTGTTTTCCTTTCAGTTTGCAATGAACCATGCATAGAAATCATGAGCAAATTACCTCCTTACCAATGACTTCAGTAATATCTATGAATCTAAGATAATCTCACCCTGACATGATGCAGCTTCCAATTTTGCAAGTTGCAATGCATAAGAAAGCAAACTTTCACCTGTGTGGAGCAATTGGAGTCTTCCTCTTCACTACCTGTCAAATGCAAGTCCAAATATATTCAGCTGCGTTTCAGCCCTGGTTTAGTCCTCTGTCTACTGACAAAGATATTTGGGTTTGTTTGGCTCGCTACAGTAGATGCTTAACTCTCCTCACTTTTAGCCATTTTGAACTGGGCACATATGTTCATTTTTGACTGACCTCAGTTGTACTTTCAAGAAAAGCATTACTAAAAATATAGCACAAAATAATATTCAATTTGATTTCACCCAAAGGTTATTCCCCACCTCCCACTGAAAACCAGTACGACGTTTTATGTACTATGCTGACAAATAGTGTCAGCATCGTTTACCAAAGAAAACACTCCTTATCTGTGTCAGATAACTAGCAACTTCAGCATTAATTGTATATTATTATGACACAATACTGATCTATGAAACCACTGAAATTGACATATTTTCTTACCGTGATGTCTAATTTAATAAAAGTACATTCACATTTGCAGCAGATCTTTGGAGATACTGTAGCTACATAGCAAATTATTGTTGTTCCTATAGTAATGATTCAGGCTCTTGGTCAAATAGATGTAATTTAAAAATAAAACTTCTGGTATGCTTTTAATAACAAGTAGCATAATCTTGCCAATTAGTAGCATGTAAAGTCATTTGTAAGTGACACGATTTCCTGTCTTTTACAGCTGAAGCCTTCAAAGAAGTCTCACATCTTATTTTTTCTTGCTTCAACCCTACATTAGCATCTAACACCTCAGATTTTTACAAAGCTGATTGTGACACAGTAAAATGTTTTGCAGTATCATTGTATGTATGTACAAATCCTCTAAACCAACAATTTGTCAGAAAAGTACTTGTTCCATCTCTAAAAAACATTGAGACACACAGCCTGAAGCAAGTATGCAGTTCAGGAAGAAGTAGTATTTTTACAGTCAACCCTGTTTACATCTGGGCCTTCTATATCAATTTGTGATGACTACAAAGTAGCAAAACACATTCCCCATCCTATAATTAATGTTTTTTCCCCCAGTATGAAAAAAGCATGCTGAGTCCAGGGATGTTGCCAAGTTTAGGGGAATTTAGGGAAGTAATTAGTTTGAAATGAGTCTGAGTCATTCAGTGTACACTCACAAAAAATATGCATATAAGATAGAAGAATACATTTCATTTAAATCATTAAACTACTGAATTACTTTTCTAGAGTGTTTAAATAACAATTCTCTTTTTGTTTGTTATTAAAGTAACAGTCTATCTAAAAACCTAAGGCAGCAAATACTCTATATACTATACTAATGCACTTGAACAATGCAGACTGCTAATGAATTAGAAAAGGAAACCAAAATGAAAACCATAGAGCCAAAAAGGTTTAAGTCACACTTCAGAGTTTCATGCCAGAGGAGAGTTTCACCAAGTATGTTTGAAGCCCTTTATGAACTTAACTAGAATTTGCTTCATATTGCTTCTATTTCTAAAACGTGAGGAAGATGTTGACATTTATTTTTATTTCCCAATTATTTTCTTTTTTCATGAACAAGTTAATTACCAACAACCAGGCAAATAACAGAATCTTACATAACCATTACACAACAGACAAGGACATTTAATTTGAATTTCATCCAAAGAATACAAAATGTGCTTTTGGACTTATGTGACTACTTGAATAAGTAACATTGCTTTCAAACTAACTAACCTACC